GACTGGGATTATAGGTGTGTGCCACCATACCTGGCCAAGCATGCTCTGATTTTTGGTGTGCTTTTTAAAGGATTTATTATTATTATTATTATTATTTGTGATACCAGGGATCGAACAAAGGATTTATTATTGTATATATATTTTTGTTGTTCTAGAAATTAAAAAACTTTCACCTTGCACATGCGAAGTATAGTCTCTACCACTAAACTATATGAGCCCTTATGACATTATTGTTATCCATGTGTGTGCATGTGTGCATATATGCACACGTGTGTACTGTGCTGGAGATTGAACTCAGAGCCTCTATCATGCCAGGCAAGTGCTCTACCACTGAGCTCCACCCCTAGCCTATGTTTTTATTTTAAACTCAAAAATGAAGAAAGATTTAAATATGAGGTCCCAAAACAAGAGTATTAACAGAAAGGAGTGAAGTCCTGAGGAAAAATAAAGATCCAGATGAAGGCAACTAATCATATTTGAATATATGTCCAAAGAAGCCATAGCATTTACCTAGTGTGCATGAGGCCCTGAATTAGTTCCCCGCCCAAAGAAAAACCAGGAAGTGTTTATATGTTGATATTTTAACCTTGATACCAAAAATTCAAGAATCACGGGCTATTGAGAATTACTATTTGCCAGCCACAATGTAAGGCCCAATGAGTAAGTCACAGACCTCATCCTCAGTAAACTAAAAAGTGTAAGGGAAGGTAGATGCAGACATTCTCCCGCGTCTCCTTTCTCATAACATTTATTATGTAATGGCGTCAAGTACACTGTAGCAACATCTGGAGGTGATATCGTCTTGAAAGGCTTCAAAAATGATGTATGAACTAGATTTCAGATGTTGAGTCAACTGACCAGATATTAGCAAGACCATGGGGGCATGTGTACAGAGCTTCTCTTGGGGAAAGGGAATCAACAGACTGCCTTTTGGCTTCCACTTTCATGAAGAATCTTCAATATGCATAGAATCACTAGGATCCACTCACAAGACCAAAAAGGAGGCTATTCATCATACAAATTTAAAATCTCGCAGCCAGCATCGTGGTGCATGCCTGTAATCCCAGAATTCACTGAGGCAGGAGGATTGCTTGGGAGTTTGAGGCCAGCCTGAACTAGTGAGACCTTGTCTCAAAAAAAAAAAAAAAAAAATTCTTATTTGATTGACTGTTACGTACTATGAATTAATTTTTGGGGGGAATACCAGGAATCAAACTCACAACCTTGTACTTGTCAGGCAGATGCTGGGCTGCTGAGCTATATCCCCAGTCCCCTATGAATTTTTAAGTAAACCTTATCACTGTCTTCTGTATGATACAATCATATGACAATGTTTTTGACTATTCCAAGCATTAATTTACTAGATGTAAACATTTAAAGCAGGCTACAGAAAATGTCTATTTGGGCTTTTCTTCAACTTTGAACTGGAAATGAGACTGTCCTCTAATTCCCTCAACTTCTGAGAGACTCTAGATATGAAAGATTGTGATCTACAATTTTTGAGCAATAGGAAGTTAAATTTGACTACGAACTTTCCAGGCATGGTAATACAAAGCTATAATCCCAAAACTCAGAAGGCCAAGGCAGGACGATTGCCATGAGTTTGAGGTCAGCCAGCAGTACATAGTGAGTGCAATGCCAACTTTATACAGGAGGTAAGAAGATCACTGCAAGTCCAAGGCCAGCCTCAGCTACGTAGTAAGTTCAAGGCCAGCCTGAATTGCATAGTGAGACCCTCTCAAAAAGACAAAAAAAAAAAAAACCCACCCAGAACAGTAATAATAATTCATGAATTAATGTGACTGGAAACTAGAATGGTATGAGTGACTAAAACAGAACATTGAACTTGATTGGACATAATTTTCCAAACTGAGGTTTGGAGGACCTGAGTTTAAAAATAAATGAGACGCTGAACAAGCCACCTAATTTCTCTGTAAAATAAAGACAACACCAATACTAAATTAGTATCTGTTCTACTTTCTCTCTTCCTGAGAAAAACCAATTCTAATGTCGAGTATTGTCTTTTTTTTACATTTAAAAAATGGGTATCAGCTCTACTTTCTTTCATTCTGAGAACATCAACACAGTGACGAAGTATGGAGGTACACACTTGTAATCCCTGCTACTCAGAAGGCTGTGGCAGGAGAATTATAAGGCCAAGGCCAGTCTGGATAACTTAGTGAGACCCTGTCTCAAAATAAAAAAAATAAAGGCCTGAGGATGTAGTTCAGTTGTAGAGTACTTGCCTAGCATATGAGTCCCTGGGTTCAATCCTCAGTACCACACACACACCACACATGCATACACACACACACACACACACACACACACACACATCAATGCAATACTCTTTCCATCTCTGACTTTTTATCCAGTCTCTTCTGTGGTATATCCAGGGTTGAAATATGCTATTTAATGAGGCAATACATTTTACTTTCATCTACTAACTCCGGTTATTATACAATGGTATGATATACACATGATAATCAGCAGGCCAGTGTTCGTCTTGCTTGGTAGGTCAACTTGGGAAAGTTACACAACCCATCCCACTCTCAGGTTCTTTCATATGTCAAATGAGATAACAGCTTCCTAGTTTGATGATAATATTGTAATAAAAACAAGAATATTATACACACAGAGATCTTAGGCTGTTTGTTCTCAGCGTTAGCTGCACATTAGATTCACCAACAAGGGGCTGGGGATTTAGTTAGGGGCTGGGGATTTAGCTCAGTGGCATAGCACCTGCCTGGCAAGCACAATGTCGTGAGTTTGATTCCTGGTACCAGAAAAAACAACAACAACA